TCGTTTACAAGCTATTGAACATATGGATTTACAAGAAAATCGTCATATGTCATCATTTGAAATACAACTTTATCAATATCCTCATCTTATATCTCAAGTAATTTAATCGAATTGTGTTGTGTTTTTTTTTTATAAAGGAATTTTTTATTTATATTTTTTGAAGTATTTAATTGAACTTGACAAAGAACATCATAAATTAAGTTTATTTCTTTATTGGAATAAACATGAAAATATCTTTTGGAAATGGATGGTAATTAATTCATTTTCTTTTTTTTATCTTTTCGGTAAAAAAATTTAAATTTAAAAAATAGGAAAGTGTACTTGATCAACCAATAACAATAGAAAATAATGAATTATTACGCGATGTTAATTGTCAATATTTAGAAGCAGAAAGACAAAAATTTAATGCAGCTATTGATACTCTTGATAGTGCATTGGTTCAACTTGAACAATTATGGATATCAAATGTATGTATTACAAATGAATCTCATTAGATACCTTTTTCCGATTATTTTAATAAAAAAACTCAAAAATGATTTTGAATGTCTATTAAGACTTAGTGACACTATTGAATTCTGAATATGTCTGCTTGCAGGGATTTACTAATTCTTGAGACAAATTTTCAAAGATGACATTTTGTTTTTTTTCGTTATTAAGAATATAGTTCCTGTGGATTGTTTATATCAATCATAATTGTTCTATATCGAAGCTGTAGTCGATAGAAAATTTGTATTTTTTGATTTTCTTTCGACTGATTTTGAGACCTGTGTTTTGTGCATTAGACAAAAATGTAAGAATAGCTAGAGGTCTGATATTTCTCAATACTGAGCATGTGGTTTTGTAAGTAGAGATTAATTAATTATTTGACTTTCTGATCGAAATTTAGAATATTTCCACTATTGAGAGTTACCAGCAGAGTTGTAACCGGTAATGATGAACAGTCGGTCTAGTAGAGATTATTTTCTCTTTAACAACTAGTCTAGGTTCTCTTTTAGTTTTTGCATAATTCTGCAGAAGGTAGATTAAGTATACAGTTAATAAATAATGTCGATGTCTAAAGACTAATTAATTAAAGCATAAAATTAATATAGAATTTGTAGTCCTATGAAGTTTTCTGTTCACAAATAGATGTCAAAACAGAGAAAACATATGAAAATAAATAATGAAAAGCATTATAGTTGTAAAAGCATTGCGTTTTCACCATTAATGTAGTGATTAGGAAAAAGAGATGAATAATCCAGAGATTGATTTGACTGTTCTAGAGCCAGTAAAAAAGAAGAATAACTCGTGCCACTACACCGTCCAGTCTGACTGGTGCCGGTGAAGAAAAAATCTTACTAATTCTTGGACTCCTAACAGTTCTTCATGCTAGTTGTGGTCAGTTTTCGAAGCTATTACATATTGTCTAATGCAAAACCTAGGTCTTAAAATTAGTTGAAATTGGTCAAAAAAAAAGATGTCAATTTTCGATTGGCTACACCTTCGGATAGAGTATTCAAGACTGATATAAACAATCCACAGGAAACTACATTCTTAATAAGGAAAAAAAACATGTCATCTTTGACATCAATTTCTAGGAATTAGTACAACTCTACCTATTTGCTCAAAACCCTTGTAGGATCTCAGGTTTTATGAAAAAACTATGCTCTTCAAATGGAGATAGTTTCAAGATGAAATTCGAAAACATGATTTTTCATAGAGATTGGAAGGAGACATCTGAGGAAGTTTTCTTGTTAGTAAAATCAATAATGATCTAAATAAGACTTCTGTTTTCTTTCTTTTAGGATAATCATCAATCAATAGAACGTGATGTTTCATTGATTATAACATCGATCGATACACAAATATCATCTCTTTTTAATCAATTATTAAATAATAAATCATTATTAAGAAACAAATCTTTTTCAGAATAAATTTTCGAATATTTTAATTGTTAATTTACTATAAATAATTATTCGGTCAAATAAATTTCATTTTAGATTATTGAAAGAAAAAAAACAAAAACAGTTAATATGGCTGAAAAATTGAATGATTTTGCTAGTCGATTATCAAAAGGTACACCAAAAGGATTAGGTTTAGGTGTTAAATTAATTGTTGGAGCATCAGCTGCTGTTTATGGAATTTATAAATCCATGTTTACAGGTAATTTAAATAAATAAAAAAAAAATAAAAATTTAAATTTCATCGATCATGGTTATTATAGTTGAGGGTGGTCACCGTGCAATTATTTTTAATCGTATTGGTGGTGTTGATCAAAATACAATTCACGCTGAAGGATTACATTTTAGGTAAGAAGACAAAAGATTGTTTTAATGATTTGATTAGAGAATTTCTTATATAGATTTCCATGGTTTCAATATCCAATTACGTATGATATTCGAGCTCGACCACGAATAATTAAATCACCAACTGGAAGCAAAGGTTTAATATTTTCTTCTTCTTATTTTCGTTTTTTTTTTTTTCATTTATTTACTTTTTTTCTTTTTTTTTTCGTAGATCTACAAATGATTACTATTGGTTTGTTAATTATTTTTTTTTATTTTCAAAATATTTAATTTTTCTTTGATTTTTAGCTCTTCGAGTTTTAGCTCGACCAGATCAAACAAAATTACCAAAATTATATCAAACATTAGGTTTAGATTGGGATGAACGTGTTTTACCATCCATATGTAATGAAGTATTAAAAGGTGTCGTAGCAAAATTTAATGCATCACAATTAATAACACAACGACAACAAGTATCAAATTTAATTCGTCTTGATCTTATTGAACGTGCTAAAGATTTTGATATATTACTTGATGATGTATCAATAACTGAACTTAGTTTTGGTCAACAATATTCAGCTGCTGTTGAAGCTAAACAAGTTGCACAACAAGAAGCACAACGAGCTGTATTTACTGTTGAACAAGCTAAACAAGAGCGACAACAAAAAATTGTTTTAGCTGAAGGTGATGCTGAATCAGCTAAACTTGTATGTATAATTAGTATATAGAACAACAAAAAAAAAAAAGAAAAGAAAACATTTGTTTTAGATTGGTAATGCTATTAGTAAAAATCCTGGTTATTTAAAATTACGTAGAATTCGTGCTGCACAAAATATTGCGAAAACGGTATTTAAAAAGATTTTTTTGAAATTTATTTGATTTTTATTCTGCTTTTTTTTTTAGCTTTCATTAAGTGCAAATCGTGCATTTCTTGATGCTCAAGCATTAATGATCAATGTTGCCAACCCAAAATTCGATGAATCAGCCGATGATCTTGGTCGTAAAAAGCGTTAAACGTTTTTTTTTTCTATCATTAGCATTGATTATACGAGCATATATTATTTGTTCCTAGTTCTTTCATATATGCTATTTACGTATAAGACTCATAAAAAATAAAATCAAAAAACCTTTTCTAGGATTATTGTTTAATACATTTATTTCTATTTCCCATTCATAGATGTAGATATGATTTTATAGAGTTATTTTCATCGAGAGAAAAAAAAATAACAAATGGATATAATGAATTAAAACATTAAATTATCAGTGAGTATTCGATGTAATATCGTGATGGAAAATACAGTGTCTTCTTCTGATTGTTTAATCTGTCAGATAAAACAAAAATATTGGCTTGTTTTTCTTATGTATTATAAGATGAAAACAAAAAACAGTCCATGTGATTCGAACCCGGACAAATACTGCCGAAAGACCGTTCGCTATAATATGTACTGTACCGGCGACAGTTTGAGATTCGGACGATTGGCTGTCCTCTGACTGTTATTCTACCACGGTATACTGATAGTTGTTCACTAACCGATAATCTACTGGCAATATATTATCAGTAGTGCGAATAAACATGAGATAGGTAGAGTTCGTCGGGTTCAAAATTTTCGGACGCGATCAAACCGTATTTTGATAGATTCAGTGAACACTTCGGAGATACTTTTTTCTGGCTTTTTTGTATTCGATGGCTATTGCATCCTACACATTTCTCAGACTAGTCGTCTGAAAAATGTGTAGGATAAAGTGTATCGGGTTCAAAGTTTTCAGATCCGGACTCGACCAGGTCTGGGATCAATTCGGCGGGCGTTAGCAAAAGAAAAGATATAATCAAAGATTTATTATTTTATTCTCGATTGTTCTCTATATCTCAAGCGTACGTGTCAGATTGGAATTTAAATTGTAGAAATGTAAAATTGTCATATACTAATCAACAATAAATAATTTTCAATTGGTTGAAAGGTTTCGATGTGGATTCGGGCGTGGATATTTTTGTCATTCACAGTCTAGTGATGTAACTAACAATAGAAAGTTTTGTGCTGTTAGAAAAGAACATTAGACATATTCGGATCAAATTAAAACTCTCATTGCCAAATTAACAAATTTAAAATATGAATTGCCCATGGAGTGCATCGAACGAGATAATGAACTTTTTATGGATTCACAGTATATATAAGATATCCACAAGTCAAAATTTTAGTACTATTTAGTTTTTTTTTCGTGATGGTTGAATAGAACTCGTTAAGTTGCATAAAGACAAAAACAAATACTATGAAATCTTCAAAAGTTTGTTTTCAAGTTCGAAACATACTTTTTCTCATACGATTCGAGAAATTCTATCCAACTATCACAAAAAAAAGAAAATAGTATTAAAACTTTGACATGCGAGTATCTTACATAGACGGTAAAGTCCTAAAAAATCTATTATCTCGCTCAGTGAATGCCATGTATAGCTCATAGTTTAAATTTGTTAGTCTGGTAATAAGAGATTTAATTTGACTAAAATATATCTAATGTTTTTTTGTTAACAGTATAAAGCTTTCCACTGTAATAGGAGCTGAGTCCTCCTCTCATACTAACCAAACTCACGCTATTACCACATCAAGTTAAGCTTATACGAAGACAAATAATTTCATCGATGTTTCTTTTTTGTATCTTCTTTATTCCATCAGAAACTTGTTTGTTTATTTGATTAAATAAAAAAAACACGAAGAATAATAGTTTTTCTGTAGATGTTTAATGTGGCAAGTATATACCCGTCGACGTCGAATACGATGGCTTGCCATTGGTTTTATTTTAATTCTTATTGTTTGGTGTTTTATTTTATATAAAAGTTTAAATATAACATACGAAAAAGATATTTCTCATTCTCATTCATCATCTTTAACATCAGTATCATCATTTCTCTATGAAATTGATAATCTTGATTTATTTATAAAACAAACACCTGTGAAATATAATTATCATATTTTTTATTATCCATGGTAAGTTAAATTTTATTTAATAGAAAAAAAAAAACATAAGATTATAATTGAAAAAAAAAACCTAAAGGTATGGAAATCCAGAATATGATGCAGGTCAATATTTTCATTGGAATCATCGTCGATTAGCTCATTGGAATCGTGAAAAAGTTTCAAATTATCCACAAAATCCACATGAACCACCGGATGATATTGGTAGTAATTTTTATCCATTACTTGGTCCTTATAGTTCTCGTTCTCCTACTATTCTTGATAAACATATGCGAATGATTCGTATGAGTGGTGCAGGTATAAGAAAATGATTGGGGTTTTAGAGAAAAAAAAAAATCTATGAAAATTTTCTTAAGGTACATTATCAGTAAGTTGGTATCCACCTGGAATGGCTGATGATGCAGGACATCCATGGAATGATCTTATGCCACTTTTACTTGATACAGCTGAGAAATATAAATTAAAAGTAAATACAAAAAAAAAAAAACAAGGATCCTGTCGGATAAGATGACTATTCAAATAAAGGATGATCATTTTATTCAATAGAATCATTTATATTTAATAATTTGAATTCTTTTCTTGAGATTTGTTTTCATATTGAACCATATCAAAATCGTACAGCTGATAATGTTATATATTGGTCAGATTATATTCTTCGTCAATATGGTTCACATTCAGCATTTTATCGTTATAAAGAAAAAGGTTTCTTTTATATTTATGATTCTTATCGAATATCTGCAGATGAATGGTATCAAAAATTTTTATCTAATAATAAAATAAAACAGCAAGCTTTTTTTGTTGGTCTTATACTTAAATCTAATGATTGTCAACAATTAGTATCATCTGGTTTTGATGCTGCTTATTCATATTTTGCTGCAAATGGTTTTACTGAAGCATCAACTTCACAACGATGGTCTTCAATTGTTGGTATATGTAAATCAATACCATTTATTCCAAGTATTGGACCTGGTTATATAGATACAAATATTCGACCATGGAATGGTGAAACAACACGATCAAGACAAAATGGAAATTATTATAAACAAATGTTTAAAGATTTACCAAAAGGTAATGATAAAATAGTAACAATTACATCATTTAATGAATGGCATGAAGGTACACAAATTGAACCAGCTATAGAAAAAAATGTTTCAAAAAATATTATTTATGAAAGTTATCATCAAGGTCCTTTTACATATATTTATCTTACACGTGAACTTATTTTTACTACTTAACTGTGATTTCTACTTTTTATATCTAGTCTTTCTTTTAAATAAATAGCTAAAATAAAGTTCGAAATGAATATTTAATAAATCATAAATAAAATCTTAGATTACTGGAACTAATTACTAAACAATGAAATACAACAAAATAAGAATTGATTATATAATTTATTCAATCTCATTAACAAGGGAATAAATCTAATTGTCAGATGTTGTTCGACTTCTACGAGTAGACTCCCTATGAAACTGAGAAAAGCTTAAAAGAATTCGAGTTCATAGCCTACTAATGAAGAGCTATGACTTGAAATGTACAATAAAAACGAATATATTTTTCTCGAGATATTCAATCTGTAAGTAGATGCTCTCCTTTGGTAAACCACTGTGTCGTTTTTTTTTTCGAAAATTGAATATCTCGAAAAAGATATGTCTATTTTTGTTGGAAATTTCAGGTTAAAACGCATTGGTTTGGGTTTTCCGGCAATGCTTTGTTCTCAATAGAAAATTTGATTAAAATGACCCATAACTTTTCATTCGAATAAATAAGTTCATCAAGTTTTTACTTGATTCTCCAAATGTGGTGTCATGCGATTTTTAGTCATTCAACTTAATCAAACAAATCGTTGGATCGTGTTGTAATTATGAAAATGTTCGATAAATGGATTCAATGAATGCGATCAACTATGAACATCAAGGGCGATTATTTCGAACGTTATCGACACCACTTTTTGTATACTCTAATATGTACAGAAGACTAGGCATTAGAATAACGGAAACATCAAGAAGAGAATTCACTGCTTTTCGTATGCTCTAAGTGTATGACAAAATGGATGAGCATTGGAAGACATTTCTATATTGTGAGAAAATGAATTTTTTTTTTGTCTAATCATAGTTATTTAATAGGGTTGAATAATATTCATCATCAAGCGACTCTTCTTCAAGATGCTATTCATACGATGATCAGACATAATAGAGTGATTAGTTTCATCTGAGTATATCGAATGATTAATATCAAGAGATTGTTGTTCGTTTGATGCGTTAGTTCTACGATTGACTAATGATCATGGATATATATTGTTTGTAATCAGTGAATGCTTAGCAAGAAACAATGAAAATGATATTTTTCCATAATTTGAATAATGTCTAATATACTTTAGCCGACTTCTTGAAAAGAAGAAATTATTCTAGCTTTTTCAGGTTTTAGAGAAATCTTAGGACCTAAACAATGGTCAGATTCCTCTCATCATAGGGAAAAAGTATCGGTTTCTAAAGAAATTAGAGATCTCGCTCTATCATTTCATAATAAAAACTGTTTTCTAATATTCTCCCTATTCAAAAGAAAATTAAACATTCTGTCTCAGCTAAGACTTCGTTAGTTTTTCAAGGAAAATGTTCTAAGCAAAGATTGTTCTTAAGGATTGTCTATTCAAATTTTTTTCACATTTCACAAATCATTTCTCTTTCAATGGTAGTAACTAACATGATATTTCTATGAAAAAAAAAAAAAACGTAATTTTTACAGAAAATAAGTCACCTTCATGTGTTCTGTAGGAATTGTCCAATGTGTAAATAACATAAAAGAAGTATAGGAATAACATGAGTTCTTTACATCAATTTAAATGTTTAGTTTATTCTATCAGAATAATACAAATTACGAAAATCATTTATTCAGTTTTTTCATTTAATTGTTCAATCAAATACTTTTAAAATCTTCAACATTTGATAATTTTTCTCTAATAATAATTTATCACAATATTATAAATGAAATCTTAAGTCTACTTCATTTTTACAACATACAAATTTTAGTTCACATTAATAAATCACACTATGATTTTAATTCTATACAAGATAGAATCATGATAAAATATGGTCATCAACAAAATAAATGATATACACGTACGCAAACTCAACATTAATATATATGTCTATGCTCGTTTAAATGATGATGATAATGATGATGATCGCGGTACATTCCTTCCTAATTGTCATTTTCGATACAATCATCAGTTGACTAAGGCCGTCATAAAAAAAAAAATAAAGCTTTGCCTCCGGTTGTTTGACATGTACATACATAGACACCAAATAGAATGATTCAATGCTCAACAAGGAGATGCATTCTTCGATCGCAAACAATCTTTTTTCTTTTCTTTTTTTTCGTCGGAGTATATACGGTTTTTGTTGACATAATCAGTTGTACTTTGATTTCATATTTCTGATGATAAGAATATATTGTATGTAAAGAATAGCAAATCTTTTTTTTTCTCTTCAATCTCTATCAAACTATACAGTTTTATTATCATTTATTGCAAGACTTGAATATGTATGTATGTAGAAAAGTCTAATAAAACAGAGCAATTTGTTGATTTTTTTATTCTTTTTTTTTTTTGTGTTACATGCAATTATTTCAGTGATTGCAAAAAAATACAAGTGTCTATATTGTGCATATATAATTTAAAATTATTAAAAATCAATCACATTCGTCGATGAATAGTACAAGAAGAGAACATCAAAATAACAATTCATTTGTTTTTTTTACAATGGTTTTCTTCATTTCTTTTTTCAATTTATATGTATAGATGTATAGGTGACAAAAACAACAATTGTCAAGGTAGTAATGATCACATTTCTTTCGATACTTTATTATGTGAATGTCAGACGGCTAGGTTTTTTTTTTTTTTTTTGTAGTTGATTTAAAGAAAGACCTTGTCAAAAATTTTTATTAAAGAGAATATTGAAAATTTTTATTTTTATTTATGTGAATATCTTGACTTTTGAATAATAAACTTTTGGTATGTATGTTTTAGTTTCAAATATTATTATGTTATTTATTTCTAAATGACAACATTCTATGTATATATGTAAACGAATTTTATTGATTGATATTATATCGATTATTAAATAATATATATTGAATACAGTTGTTAAAATTAGAATAAATTGAACATAGGAAGAATAGTAATGAGTGATAGTCTCAGCGTTGACCTTCGCGAAGTTTGTGGTTATTGTACCACGTATTTGAAATGAAAAATACAAAAGAGTAGTTTTCTAAAAGATTTTTCTTTATATTTAATCAATTTCGAAAGAATGAATAGTCTTGCCATCGATAGATTCAGTGATGACAAGTTTTCGAAATAATAAGTAGAAGACTTTTTTTTTTTTGTATAAATTATGATCTATAAATTAAAAATTTGAAAACTTCCATTTGTGACTACTTAGATAGTGTTCTTTAGTAGTATGAACAAAGTTTGTTAAATCCTTAATCGTTGTATCAGATAGATTTCTGTATGATTACAACCTTTGGTATCCGGATCCGGTAATTTCATACGAGAACTTGAATCGATCCGACATTCTTATTCGAGAAAATCTGTTTTATTAGTCTCAATACATGTCTAAATTTTTATGTCATATTCAATTGAGTCAGATGGATAAAAAAAAAGAGATTATACAAAATTGCATAAGAGAGAGAGAATAAATCAAGTGATTTATTACTTAGTTGTTATCTTTCTCTGAATCTAAAATTCTTTTAGTATTACTGAACATATCTTCTCATATCGCTGATGACACGATAGTTAAAATCAATACTCCGTTTAACATGATAGATATCTTTCATCATGATAATATATTCTTATGTTGAACATTTGTTTGCACTATCGCCGGCTTTTTTTGTCCGATGATTTGAATCAGATGAGTTGTTAACTTTCGAATAAAGTTTATTTTTCATATACTAGATCAGTTGTTTATATAATTTAACATAAATATAAAAATCTCCTTTTTTTTTTATTTATATCAATTATTCTCAAATAAAGTGATAGAAAAAAGTTTAGAAATAACAATTTTTTTGGCTTTTTTCATAATGTTAAGCATGTAGCTCTAATCCAAATAGTGATTTTAATAGTCAATGGAGTTTTCTATCCAATACACTTTATAGCAAGATTTCACAGATGAACAACGATGGCAAGGCTACTAAAAAAACTGAACACGGTATTTTTCAGGTTCTAGAAGACTTTGCTTGCCAGAGGTATTTTTGAATGGTGCTATCTTAAAGAGCACAAAATTCTGAGCAAAATGAGGGGCCGCCGAGTTTTCTATGAACTTCTCATAAAAAGTTACAAGCATCACAAAAATCATGAAAAGGGCGTTTTTAGTCGATTTTTAAAAAAATTTCGTCTTTTCATGATTCTTGTGATGCTTGTAACTTTTTATGAGAAGTTCGTAGAAAACTCGGCGACCCCTCATTTTGCTCAGAATTTTGTGCTCTTTGAGATGGCACCATTCAATAATAGCTCTGGCAAGCAAAGTCTTCTAGAATCTGAAAAATACCGTGTTTGGTTTTTTAATAGCCTTGCCATCATTGTCCATCTGTGAAATCTTGCTATAAAGTGTATTGGATAGAAAACTCCATTGACTATTAAAATCAATATTTGGATTAGAGCTACGTGCTTAACATTATGAAAAAAACCAAAAAAAATCGTTGTTTCTAAACTTTTTTCCACCACTTTATGCCACACGACCGACGCGATTTTCATGCGTAAGCTTCTAAATTAAACAAAAACCTTCCCTTGAAACAAATAGGACACTGATAAATTATCAGACTATAAGTAGTTTTCGGATATGGAATCATATTCTGACCCGATAAACTCCTATTAGAACCGATCGAGACCAAGAGTTTCTGAACCCGGATCCGATCGAAAGAAAATTTTTAGACTCAGACTCATCTACACTAATCACATAAATAAAATACAAAATAAAAAAATCTGTCAACATATGTTCGCTGTGGTTACAAACTGTATACTAAAATTATGATTGACATCTATAGATTTCGCTACTTAATATGAAACCATAAATTTTATCTTTGATGGTTGGTTTATAGAATGCGACAATCGAGAGATAGATAGTGAAAACTATGTCATGATTCGTTTTCCTTTTTATCTAATTAATTTACTTGTACATGTCTGTCTGTCTGACTGCTCTTTTTTTTTCTCTTCATTCTAAACGACAAAAGAAAAAAAACGTACTTATTCATAGACAAAGCAAAAAAAAAAAAGAAATATTTTCTTTTGTTTATTTAGATGTTTTTTATTTTACATTTATTTAATAATAAAATATTATTTTACTTTCGATAATGAATAATCAAATAGATGATAATATTTATATTGATGAACAATTAAAAAAAAAATCTCGTGAATCTCATCCATTAACACGTAAATCTCGTTCAATAAGTCGTTATTTTCTTGGTAATAAACATTCAAGTATTGATTTAACAACAGATGATATTAATATAACACATTGTTTAACATCAATTGGAATATTTGATTCATATGATTTATGGACAAATGTAATATTATTTCATGATTATCGAACATATCGACGTTTATTTATAATAACAAATAAAAATCAATTAATTATAAGTAAATTAAATCAAAAACAATCATTATTAAAAATAAAACATCGTATTGATTTAAATCGTTTATGGTTATATACAAATATAGAAAATATTAATGAATCAATTATATCTGAAATAACATCATTAACTTATTATGATTATCATCGAACATTAATTATTGGTTGGCCATTAGTTGAAAATTTTCTTGTTGAATTTGATACAAAAGATATTTGTGATATTTGGTATAAACGTATTCAATCGTAAGTTATTTCATATTCAATATAATATTTAATTCTATGGAATTTATTTAGTTTATCAAAATAAGAAATGATATTAAATATGATTTTCTTTTTTTTTTCCTTGCACAGAAATCATTTGAAAACTCCATCAAGAATTTTGACTACTGAATAACAAAATCTCCAGTTTGAATAGTTTTTGTAGATTTTCCATTGGCGGGTTCACGAATCCACACTTGATAATTGAAAATTCACTATAGTCATGAGTACATTACTTTTCAAATGTTCGAATACTCGATTTTCTAACATATGACACAAGAAATATTACTTTTTCAAAATCAATAATTTCCTGATGTTTATTAAAGATCTCTCGTTAAGTTAAAAAATAAAAATGCACAAGAAGATCAAAACAACAAAAACAAAAATTTATATCTGTTTCGATCGGACTGTTTTTTTTTTTTTTTTGAATGACGTATATAAATTATAAGAGATGTGCTTACTCAAACATGAAATAATTTTCTAATTCTATTTCTAAGTAATTTCATACTAAAAATATATTTATTCACAAATTTTTTCAATGTTAAATTCTGATGCACTTTACTTACAGTAAACTTTGTAAACTTGCCCTTTAAACCTATTCATAATTCAAGAATTATGTGTTATGTTTTGTTTTTTTTTCTCTGTTCCTTTAATCAAATGTCAACAGATATGATTAATAGCTAACATAAGAAATACATTATATACAATAAACATTCCTTCTAGCTGATTTTCAACAATGTCATTTTTTTTTTTTTGTGTTGTTCTATGTTATTAAACTAATTGAAAAAGAAAAATATATATATATATATACATATATTCAATTAATTTAGAACTTTAAATTTTTGGTGGCAATTAAATAGTTTAAATATTGAACATGTTCGTATTGTAATTGATCAAAATCAAGAATATGATCAAAATAATAATACAACATCATTTTTAATTGTAATATTTAATAAAAAATTTTTTAAAACTTTAGAATATTTTAAATATTTATTATTCTAGCGTAAAGTAATTAGTATTCAACCACAAGAAACTGTTCGAGATTTAATTAAAAAATGTATTGATGCATGTCATTTACGAGTATGTAAATGAAAACAAAAAAAAAGAAATTCTTTTATATATCAATATTTTTGATTGAAATTAAGGATTCATGCGTGGATAATTATATTTTATTTGTACTAAATGATTCAAATATAATATCTAATACAAATCAACTAGTAAATTCTTCTTTACAATCTAATCAAATACAATTAATACCATTGATAGGTAAGTTTAATTTTGTCGCGTGCTCGAATTTCGTTTCTTTTCATATTTGCATGATATTGTGCGTTTTAATACTTAAAAGAAAGCAGCAGAAAAGAAATAAGAAACTTCATTTTTACTAGTACATCTGTATATACATCTAAATTCTCATTTGTCCTCGTCTCTCTTTCACCCTCCTCCCCCCCCGCCTCTATTTTTTTTTCTACTTTTTTTTTTCTCTCTTGTCAAATTACAAGAGTACTTAAGATATTTATATAACCAGCAATTCTTGATTCAGTTCTGTTATTATTCCGGATACGAATCAACATTTTAAAGAATCATTTTTTTTGAAAAGCATAAAAAAAAAAGAAGAATGATTCATAATGAACGATCACGAAAATATGATCGATATCATTCAAATATTTTCTCAATTATTCGTACGGCAACAATACGTTCGAAAAGTCTTGAAACTAGTTATGATCATCATCATCATCATCGTCGACAAGGTAATATTATTATTCAAAATATAACATAGGTCTTATTTGTCTATTAAAGCAAAAAAGAAAAAATGACGACGAATGAGGAAGAGTTCGCCTACACATAAAATGTATTCTTGACATTTCTTAAAGAGAATTAGTAGCGAAAAGAAAAAAAGAAAACGAAAAATGTATCGGTCATGATGATATGAGTATGTTAATCACATATATAGGGAAATCAAAGTCACTACGAGTTTGATCCATTTCATTAGATATAAGCAAAAGGAAAGGTGCACACATAGTCATTTATATATCCAACCTATTCTTGATAAGAAAAATGATCTGAATTGATTGGTGGTTTAAATAAAAAGAATCGATGGTGAGCTGAATGAAAAAAGAAAAGTCGTTCAATGAAGAGAAAAAGAATGTGAAACATATTGATCATGTACATAGTTAAGACAAACATTGACGATGTGCGCATACACACACACACACAATCTATATGAACTCCTAACTATTTTAAACATTTGAGGTAGAAAAAGAATAACTTCAATAGAACAGAACAAATAAGAATGAATTGAAATCGAATAGAGAGATAGTATGATAATGTTTCGAGTAAGCCATAATACAACACGATACAATTTACATCGCTATTCATATTGTATGATAAAAGATTTTCTTTTGTTTTTTTTTTTGTTTTATTTTCTTTTTGTTTTTGAATTTCATAGGTCATGAATATCCATATGCAATTAAAATGAAACATTTAAAAACATCAAATCATACATCATTTGATAATGATGATTATTTATCATTACATAGTACAGGAACAATATATTCACAACATAATAATTCTACAACTAGTTTAAATAATATATCAATAAATTCTCATGATTTTGAATTACGTAAACGTGATATTGATAATCAAAATAAAAAATATCGATTTTTTCATAAACGTAAAACAAAAGATCATCATACAAAATCATTAATATTACAACAACAATATAATGATGATTATTATTCATCATCATCAACAACAACAACAACAAATCCTTTAAAAATAAAATCTTCAAATCAATTTTTTGGACAAACATTTGATGAACTTTTTAAAAAATATAATAATCAATTACCACCTATTATTCAAGTAGATAAAAATTGTTTTTTTTTTTATTTTTCTTTATTTTTTTTTTTGTTTTTTTTTAGAAATTACTTGAAATACTTTATTTCAAAGGACCAGAAACAACAGGAATTTTTCGTAAAGTTGCAAATACACGATCAGTTAAAGATTCTATTGATAAAATTGAACGAAATATTTTATTACAAGATGAAGATTTACATCCAATATTAGCTGCTGGAATATTTAAAGTAAGTTTTTTTAATATTAATACATTTAAAACAAAATAAAAAAATCTAATAAAGAAAAAATAGATATTATAGGAAAATTCAAGGTAAGAAGAATGTAAAGATTCATACCCTTTAGTATTTCTTCCTGCATGATATCCTATTAAATCTTCCTGCTTAAATATTATTCTTTTTTTCTAGCATTTTTTACGAACATTACCTGAACCAGTATTTAATACAATACAATATGATAATTGGAAAAAATGTCTTCGTCTTCCGATTATACAAGAAAAAATATCATTTGCACGAAAAAGGTATAATTATACAAAAATATTTAAATCTATATTAACTCACATTGATCTATTTGTTTTTTTTTTTGTGTGATTTAGTATCATAAGTACACTTTCAGATTCGAATTATGTATTACTAAAAGGTTTTATATGTATACTTCATCATATATCACAAAATGCTGATACAAATGGAATGAATCCATTTAATTTAGGTTTATGTGTGTCGAATAGTTTATTTAAAACAGAATCAACAACAATAGCATCAGGTAAACAAGAAGCTGATGTTATGTCATCAATAGTTGAATTTTTAATTGTTAATTGTACATCATTATTTGGTTCCGATATTTTAACATGTATTCCTGATAAACATATTATTGTACATCATATACCTAATCTAAGTAAAATATATTTTATAAATCAAAAAAAATTCTTTTAATATCATATTCTTTATTTATTTTTTTTTGTAAGCTCGACCAACTGCATCATCAATTGAAAGTCTTGATGAAGTTGAATCATCACCACATTTACATATTTTTAATCGATCTCGTGATTCAGGTTTAGCAACATCAGATCAACCATTAAATGATGATAGTTCTGAAATAAGTGAATATTTTCGACGTAATACATCCATACCACCTAATTGGACAACATCAATATCATGTGGTATTGGTACTGTTTTATCAAGTATTATTCTTCCAACAACAATATTAACATTAAATCGTTATCGAAATTCAAAAAATCTTTATAAACCATCAAAACAATTTATGGAAAGAAAAAAATTAACAAATGATACAACAGATGAATCTGATCATGATGAATTTAATGGTACAATTGGTGATTCAAGTGTACGTTCGTCAACAACAACAGTTAATAATATTTCAATAGGAAAAATAAAACGATCAAAACCTATATCACGTCATTCATCATTAGGTAATAATGAATATTATCAAAAATCTCAACAACACCACCAACAACATCAACAACAACAACAATTAACAAAAGAATCAAAACGTTTATTAACAAATGATGTTAAACGTGCATCATCACTTAAACAATTTCATCATTTATCTGATGAAGCTGATGATGATGATGAACAAAATAAAACTTTAAATTTTAATAATAATAATAATAATAATATTAATATAAAAAAGAAAACATCAATAATGACAAAGAAAAATGAACAAATATTATCTTCGACATCATTAATAAATAGTAAAAATTTAACAAATGAACGACGATCAAAATTAATTAAATCAAAAGCTATAAATAGTGATGAAGAATCTATAACGACAAGGTATATTTGCATGATTTTATTTTCTTTTTTAACTTATCAGAATTTGATTTACGGATTAGTTTGATAGAAGAAATTCTTTCATAGAATAGAAGATTCGTCTTAATTAATGAATTTCTCATAAAAATTGAAATTCATTCAAAATATGTCTAGTTTTTAAGATATTAACCTGAAAAAATGCATTATACTCCCGTTGTTTTAACAGCAGATACATATTTTGAATTGAATTCGAATTCTAAACAAATTGCATGTCTAAAAATATGCATATTTCATTGATGAAATGTTTTCTTTTATTTTTCTAAAATCTTATCAATATAAAAACATCAAACAATAATAATAATAATAATAACATTTTAAATTTTTATTTTTTTGCAGATTATAAATAGTATAAGTAAAAATAAAATCGGTAGGTAAAGGGATGGCTATTCAGATAAACAATCTCTAACAGAATGCTATATTAAGACAAAAAAAAATATTTACATAGAACAAACAAAAAGAAAAAAAAAAGAAAGAAAATCTTCAAGTATTTATTTATCTTAGATCAACACAATTTGAGCAACAAGATTTAGATTTAACAAGTGAACCATTAAGTACAATTAATCAACGTCTTACTAATGTTTCAACAATACGTTCAGCATCATTTAATGTGCCGACAACAACAACAACAACAACAACAACTACTACTAAAACATTTGATTCATCTTTATTAAATACACAAACATCTTTATCTATTGATTATCATAGTCGAAAAAAACCTATTATAATTGATGGTGGTCGTTCTCGACATAATGGTCCATTAACAGCAACAACAAATCAAATCTATACATCCACTCATAATGAACATCACAGTCAAACAAATTCAAACACACAAATTCAAAGTGAACGTGACCGAACATTTATTCATCATTCAAATTGTCGTCCATTTAAACTTGGTACAGCTGTACAAATGAAACCAATTGATGATTTATTATTAACATCATCAAATGGACGACGTCGTCCATGTCATAGACAAAATGCACTTCGTTATAAATCAATTGATCAAGAACATAATGAAAAACAATTAATACATAAATCAACACCAATTATAATTAATCAAAATCGTTTATATTCAAATGAAAATTCTTCAACACATATATCACGTTATCAATCAATTGAACGACGTACACCAATAACACAATCAACTAAATCATTCTCATTTGATATTAATGATGAACTTCGACCATGTGATATATCATGGTCAGTACGTGAAAAAGCTAAATTATTTGAACATAATAAATTATCAACAGGTCGTGAAAATTATGTGTGATTTATATATATATATATATATATGTGTTTGTTAATTTGTTTTGACATCCGGTGATGTGTGATACTATCGAGTTTTCTCATAATATGTCAAATCTATTGGTTCGCTTCTTTTCTAATCTCATGCTCAGGTGTTCGAGTTTATCAGCAAAAAGTTCTTGTTTTTCTTTTTTTTTTCCTCGTTTGTACATATAATAGATATGTGTTTTAAGCTTTTATATAATTACGTTTTTTTTTTTTTTCTTTTAAAGATTAGCACAAAGCATTATGTGTTTTCTTATTTCAATGCTGGATTCATACATATTTATCATTTATTATTATTATTTTCTTTTTGTTTCTTTATTTGTTAAGCCTATCAGAAAAGAAAACAAAGTGCTCAGTATTTGTTTGTTTATCAAGCAAAACAAAACAAACAAAGATAGTATTTTTTATGTTTATGGGCATATTAAATAAGTGACAACAAAAAAATAAATAAATAAATAAACATTCTTGTTTGTAGATATGATGCATTATGAAAAGATTATTTTTTATGTCTTGCAGATAGTCATTAAGTAAGGTGTTTTAAAGAGGACAAATCAAAAGACGATGAATGGAAACATATGTCATTTCAAATCTGAAAACTACATTAATAGATTACTAACATCTGAAATTTGGTATTCAAATAAACGTATATCGATACTTTAGAGAAAGAAAAAAAAATACTGCATGCAAATGACGAATGGCTTTATCAATTTATTCTCATAAGAATAAATTAAATATTCACGCGTATTTAATTTCTTTTTATTCATGATACCTTCATACCATCATTAATTATATGGATCATCTATATTGAGCAGGATTAGCTTGCCTAGATCTATTTATAACATATGAGTCATAACAGTATGACATTCGATGCAAGTGTCGCACGATCATAAAAAATATCATTCCCAAGGAAAATGTATTGCTTCTGATCCCGAGACACTTCAATGCTAATAGCATTAGTATTGACTTTTTTTGTTTCATGGGAAAATTTTTAATACTCCATGTTAAACACTATTAAAATACTTTCTATGAAAGAAATATTGTATGATTATACTTGCAAGATAATAAGCTTGTTTCATAATAAATTTTCAAAGCAAGACCAATGAAAATTATTTTCTTTTCAGATTAACATTTTTTTTTCAACATGGCTTTAGGTATTCATCAGGTAATAAACAAAATTAAAAAAAAACAGAATTATTTGAAATAAAATTTTTTTTTATTTATTTAGTGGCGACGATTTAATTTTTTCGATAAAGAAATAGTCAAACGAAAAGATGGAAAACCTTTAGAAGAACTTAAAGTAATAAATAAAATTTCAAACATATGTTTTTCTTTTTTTTTATTCTATTTTCTTATATAAAGCATATACAAGTTATTGCATCAACTAGTACAAATGGTGCTGGTGGTGGTCAATTAATATTTGGTTGTAGTGATGGTTCAATATGTGTTATTAATCGTGATTATGAGACAAATCATATTCATACATTTGATACATCATTACAATTATTAGCACATTCAGCAGGAGATACACTTATAGCTATTGGAGTAAGAAGGATTTTTATTAACATAAGAAACAAAAAAAACAACAATGAAACTTTTCTTTTAAATTTAAGATGGATGAAAATGAAACAAAACAAACAATTAAACTTTGGAAAACAGATAAAGTAAATTGTTTATATTAATATAAATCCATGAATATATATATATATATATATAAATTATTTCATATAGGCACTTGTAGAAAAAGAAAATACAGAACCAGCAAAAGTCCTATCTTTATTACCAAATGATCATCCAACTTCTAAAGTAGATCAAATTATTTATATATATTTTATTTTTCTTCTATAAAGTTCTTCATATATATATATATTTTTTTTTCGATAGATATGTGCTGTAGCTATTACTGATCGTCATATAGCACTTGGTTGTGAAAATGGAGCAATTTATTTTTTTGCATCAAATGATTTAATTAAAGAAAAGTATATATTTCAAATAATAATAGAGAATTGAATGAAATAAGAAAACGATCAAAAAAAAAAATACATAATTAAAATTTTTCATCATATGAAAATAACATGGAAAATAATTTTTTTTTTTGTTTTTTAATAGACGATATAAATTCTCACCACCATTCTATCAAGCTGAACGTCCAATAACTAATTTAGCATTTGCTGAAGGAATAAAACCAAATAATGAATTAATACTTTATGCAACAACTGAATCAACTGTTCTTTCATTTCGTCTTGTTAAAACAACACCAGCTCCTAGTATATCAACAGCTGCTGCTGTTGCTGCTTCTGTATCATCTAGTTTATCATCAACATTACGTGATCGTCGACCATTTCATATAACACAACATCATCAACAACAGCAAGCACAATTTAATATAACAATACTTGAAACACAAATTGGTTGTAATCCTGGATGTGCTGTTTTAGCTCAATCAGACTTTGATGGTGAACAACAATTTGTTATTGCAAATTCTACAGGTGTTTTTTCATATGTTGGTGATGATAAACGTCTTGGTTTAGGTATTGAAGGTGAAAAATTAGCTATACATTGGTGGTTTAATTATTTAATAACAATAACAAAAGAAAATCGAAAAGCATCTTTAATGACATCAACAACAACAAATACAACAACAAAACCACCATCAAATATTTTATCACAATTAACAGCCAAGTAAAATTTTGATTATTTTTCTCAAAAAAAAAAAAAAAAAACAAAATTCTTTTTTTTCCTGTTTAGTCAAACAACAACTGAATTACAAACATTAGCTGTTTATGATACAAATCCACAATTAACAGCTTATTCAGTTGGTATTCCACGTATACAATGTGTTGTTAATGAATGGGGTTATATACATATATTAACTGGTGATGGTGAATTACATCGTTTAATTGAAAAAGATTTACATTCAAGATTACATTTACTTTTTAGAAAAAATTGTTATCAATTAGCATTACAGTTTTGTTAATTTATTATTGAATATCTATATATGTATATTTTTTTTATTTAGATTAGCAAAAAAAAATCGAACTAGTAAACAAGGTATGGCAGAAATTTTTAAACAATTTGGTGATCATCTGTATTCGTAAGTAAAATTATTTTTTGTTGAATTTTTATAGAAATGAAAATCATTTGTAGATATATTAATTAAATAAGAAAAAAAATTCATCTAATTAAAAGATATTTTACAGATAAATAAATGTAGTAGATTTGAGAATTTACAAAGATGTGGATATATAAATACACGAGAGAACATTTCTAAATGAAATCTTTTTAACTCGAATTTATATTTTTTTTTTTCATATGTATTAACGAGAAATATATGTTGTAATGTAAAAATATGAAATTTCGTAATGTTTGGTAATGTCGATTTCTTTTAAAATCATTTTGTTTTTATTATAGAAAAAATGAATATGAAACAGCGACAGATCAATATTGTAAAACAATTGGATTTTTAGAACCATCTTATGTTATTAAAAAAGTAAAAGATTTTGTTTTTGTTTTTATTTATTTATCAAAAATATCTATGAATAATAATTTTGTTTTAGTTTCTTGATTCTCAACATATAGATCATTTAACACGATATTTAGAAGAATTACATCGTGAAAAATTAGCTAATACTGATCATACAACATTATTACTTAATTGTTATACAAAACATCCTGATCGTATAAATCGTCTAGCTAAATTTATTGGTTTAAATGAAACATCTCCATCTGATGTTGAATTAAGTTTTGATGTTGATATTGCAATTGATGTTTGTCGACAAGCTAGTTTGTATTTTTTTTTTCTTCTATCAAAAATCTTTAAATATTTTTTTTTTTTTTTTTGAATTTTTTGTAAAGATTATTTTGAAGAAGCATTAGCACTTTCAGCTAAATATCGTCGTCATGATAAATATATTAAAATTCAAATTGAAAATAAAAAAGATTATGATAAAGCATTAACATATATTCAAACATTAAAATTTGATGATGCTTTACAAGCATTTCGAAATTATGGTAAAAGTCTTATTAAAGAACAATCAATATTAACAACAAAATTATTAAAACAACTTAATCCAACACCACAACAAATTGAACAAGAAAAATTACCTGAATCATTAATTAATTTATTTATGAATAATCCTGATGAATTACTTGATTATCTTGAATATGCTGTTAAAGTAGAATTTTTATTTTTTATTTTTATTGATTCTATTTTTTTTTAATTGTAGCAATATCCAAAAGAACATCTTGCTACAACAGTTTATGATACAATATTAGAATTACTTTTACAAAAATATAATAAAACAAATGATAAAAAAGAAAATGATCGTATTAGTCATCAAATTTTAACATTACTTCAAGATTCAAAGGTATAAATTAAAAATTATTTCTAATCTAATTGATTAAGAGAGAATTTGTAAAATCATCAAATATACGAAGCATTGGGTAAAATTTTTTGATTTGTTTTTGCTCATTCAATTCTTCAATGTCCGAAATCACCAACTCCAAAATTTTACTTTCTAATATCCTTCCTATGAAAAATTAGTCAAAATCGACTTTTAACATACTGTTATGACTTCAATGAAAAAAAAAATGCTGTATAAAGATTGTGTCTCTCAATAGATCACTAAAATTTAATAAAGTCAACATTAGTCAAAACTGCCCGTTGTTTTAAGTCTAAAATGTCCGCTTTAATACAATGCATCTCCTATTGTATTTCAGAATGAGAGAGTCCTCAGCTGGAATTTTATATATGTTATTTAACTTTTAATTCTATACGAAATAGTAAAAAAAATGATGTATTTTTGCCAAGACAGGACTTGTATTCTCCTAATTTTTTTTAATAGAAAAGGAATATTGTTAGCGGTTTTCATTGTCTTAATACAATTGTAAAGCAAATTTGGAATCACCATCAAAAACTCCATTGATTCATGTATATTTTAGAGAATTTTTTTTTTCCTATCTAAAACTGATCTGTGGGAGACCACGGAGAAAAGTTTTTCAAAATACAGCTATGGGAATCCACAGGTCAGTTTTTGACGGTGATTCCGAATTTGCTTTACAATTGTGTCAAGACAATGAAAACTACTAAAAATATTCCTTTTCTATTGAAAAACCATGAAAATTTAGGAGAATATAAGTCCCGTCTCGACTCGAATGCACCATTTTTTTTTCCATTAAAAATTGAATAACATATATAAAATTCAGTTTGGAACTTTCTCATTCTGAAACACAATAGGAGATGCATTGTGTTAAAATGAACTTCTTAGGCTTAAAAAGAAATAGACGATTTTGACTAATATTAACTTTATTAAATTTCAACTGCTAGATATTATATTATATCCAAATAGCTTATTTTGTGTTTAGCTTTTAATTCTCTCTTTTCTGATAGATAACATGAAAAATTTCAACGATCTACTGAGACACAATCTGGTACAATTTTTATAGAGCATTTTTTTTTTCCATTGAAGTCATGACAGTGCTGAAAGTCGGTCTTGGCTAACTTTTCGAAGGAGGGATATTAGAGGCTAAAATTTTCAGATTGGTGATTTCGGACATTGAAGAATTGAATGAGCAAAAAAAAACAATTTATCCAATGTCTCGTATATTTGATGGTCTCGGGAATCCTCTCTTAAATATTTTTTTGATCTTTGTGTTTATATACTAATTTAATATTTTAGATTGATATTGATGTAACACGTGCAATGATTGCATGTCAAAAATATAATTTTAAAGCTGGTGTTATTTGTTTATATGATAAAGCAAAATTGTAAGAATATTTTTTTTTTTTGGCAATAAAATCTAATAATAAGAATTTCTTAGATATCAACAAATATTACAATATCAAATGGATAATCAAGATAATGATGAAATAGTTGCAACTTGTCGTAAATATGGTGATGAAGATCCACAATTATGGATTCAAGCATTGAGTTATTTTTCAAAATTAAAAAGTGCTGATGGATGTCGAAAAGAAATTCAACAAATATTAAAATGTTAGTTAAAAAAAAACAAAAAACTTAATTGTTAATTCTACATAAATTGAATATTATGTTTGTTTTTTTTTATAGATATCGATGAGAATGATCTTTTATCACCATTACTTGTTATTCAAACATTGAGTAATAATGAATCAACTAGTCTTGATTTACTTAAAGTAGGAAATTTTTGTTTAATTAAATATTAATCAATTTTTGTTTAATTAGGATTATCTAATTCGAAAACTTCGTAGTGAACAAACTCAAATTGAAAAAGATCAATCAGAAATTCGTCGATTTCGTCAAGAAAGTGGAGATATTAGTAAAAAAATTAAAGCTCTTGAAACTGGGTTTGTTAAAATTATATATATATATACAGTCAAAGACAAAAATTTAAACAAAAATGTATTTTTGATTTTTCCTATAGCAACAAACATCTAACTGAAATCCAAATAGTGATTCTGATAGTCAATGAAGAACTCTATCAAATGCATCCTATACCAAAATTTCATAGATGATTTAAGGTAGCAAGGTTTCTAGAAAACTCAAAACCGTATTTTTCAGGTCTCAGAAGACTTTGCAATAATTCGTTTTTAACAGTACTAACTTAAAGAACACAAAATTTTGAACAAAATGAAGGGTCGCCGTCTTTTCTATGACCTTCCTTTCAAAAGTTATAAGCATCACAAAAATCGAAAAAATACGTTTTTTAGCGATTTCTTGATTAATTTCACTTTTTTTCCAGTTTTTGTAATGCTTATAACTTTTGAAAGGAAGGTCATAGAAAAGACGGTGACCCTTCATTTTGTTCAAAATTTTGTGTTCTTTAAGTTAGTACTGTTAAAAACGAATTATTGCAAAGTCTTCTGAGACCTGAAAAATACGGTTTTGAGTTTTCTAGAAACCTTGCTACCTTAAATCATCTATGAAATTTTGGTATAGGATGCATTTGATAGAGTTCTTCATTGACTATCAGAATCACTATTTGGATTTCAGTTAGATGTTTGTTATTATAGAAAAAATCAAAAATACATTTTTGTTTAAATTTTTGTCTTTAACTGTATATGTAAAAATTTTATTGAATATTTTCTTTTAAGTCCAATTCTTTGTCAAGATCCAAAATGTAGTGCATGTAAAATGGATTTAGATCTTCCATGTATACATTTTTTTTGTGAACATTCATTCCATGAACAGTTCGTTTTGTTTTTTTTTGAAAAAATCATTTTTTTTTTAATTCTATTGTTATTATTTAGTTGTGCTTATGCTATTGAATCAACAACATCATCAGAAATTATTTATGAATGTCCATTATGTTCTGGTGATAATCGGTAAATATTCCGAATTAAATAGAATAGTTCGAGTTATGTTATTTGATAAATTGTGAAAGTGAATAAAAAAATTCACATGTTTATATTTTGTTTTTTTTTAACAATGATATGAAATTGAATAAATTTTTTTTTTTTGTTTTAGTAAATGGCTTGATTTAATAAATAATCAACGAGTTGATAAAGATATTCATGAAACATTTCATCGTAAATTAGATAATCAACAAGATAAATTTGGTGTTATTGCTGAATTTCTTGGTCATAGACTTTTTGATAAAGTAATGATGAAATCTAAGAAAAATTATTTCTCTTAAAAATGCCTTTTTTTTTTCTTCTAGGAATAGAAAAACAATTGATTAAGCTTTTATCTTTTTTTTTTATGATTTCATGATTCCTTTTTTTTTTTTTTGTTACTGTAATTTATTTAAATAAAACATAAATTTCCTTTTTTTTTATTGCAATATATTGATATATAAATCTATAATGGAATTTTCTTATGAAATATCACTATTACATAAAAAAATAATTGAACTATTATTCAAAGTAAATTGTAATCATCATTATCAAGACGTTTCCGATTTTTTTCATTTTGTATAACTACTTGTGGTGTTGTTGTTGTTGTTGTTGTTGTAGAATTTCTAGGTCCATTTAGAGCTAAGAAAAAAGAAAAACAATTATTTTTATTTTAAATTAAATACATAAAATAATAATATTAATAACATACGAGAATGAACAATAGTTCTATAATTTCTTCTTCTATTATTATTATTATTAGGTACTGGTATTGGTGAATCAATACAACGACGACAAATAAAATATGCCATAAAAAGTACAAAGACAATAAATATTATAAGTAAAAAAGCAATAATTAATATTCCACGCCATTGTTGATGTTTAGCTATCATTGCACGATGATTTGCTTTATTATTATTATTATTATTAATTCTAGATTCTTCTATATTTGAAATACAAGAAAGATTTGGTATTTCATCTGAACCATCTAAACAATGAGCAATACCTATAAGAAAATATATTAGAAAAAAGATTGGATAGAAAATATATATATATATATTTTACCATCACATAAAAGTAAACTACTAATACAATCACCATTATTGCAAAGAAATTCATCATTATTTTGATCACATGGATGTATTTTATTTTCTATATGAAAATTTTTTTTTTGGATCATCTCTCTCGAAAAAGAATTGGTTTTTATAAAACTTACGATAACGAAAAGCAGTAAGAATTAATTTAAATCCAAGACCATTAACATTTCCACCATCAGTACTAATAAAATTTTAATGATAAAAAAAACAAAAAAAAAAGATTCAATTGACATTTTTCTTTTTCCCCTACGAACCTAAAATGAACAGTAACAATGCCTGTAGGCGATATAATATTGAAATTTTCTGCTTCACCAATTTGCCCACATTCAACAGAATCCTAATAGAACAAAATAAATCATTGTTTGATAAAAAAAAAAAAAGAAGATTTTCTTTTAATATACAAGTTTATCTTCTCGTGTTATATAAACTGATTTATAAAAACGAAGTGAATCTAAACAATCTGTACCACCATAAATATCATTGAGATCAAGTTTAATAATATGTATACGTATTTGATTACTTGGTTGTCGAGCCTAGAATTCATATTTCAATATTCTTTAATTATCGAATTCAATCAAACTTGAAATGTCATAAAGCAATTTTCATAAGGCAAATATGTTTCATTTTTTGAAAATGGATATGATTTAAGAACAGCGCCTTCAATACGATAACCATCACCACATACATTTGAACGTTTAATACCATCAATTGTTGCTGAAGTCATAATATCTATTGAAATTAACAAAAACAAAAAAAATTCTTTATTTATTCAGTTATTTCAAATATTAGATCTTACATTCTTCAGGTTGTCTCATATAATTATGATTATTATCATTAATAAATGATCTCGATGATGTTGCTTTTTTTATATAAATACTCGTAAAGAAGATAAACAACAACAACGACAAAGTGTTATAAGAAATAAATTGTAAGTAGGTAAACATTCACTTGATAAAAAAAGTAATAATAATATATAATGATTAATACACCTGTAGATCATATCTAAAAATAAGGAAATGGATTTAAATTTCATTATTACAAAAAAAGAAATCGTGACACAAATGAGATAATTATAGTTAATATGATTTTAACAATGCAACTAACTAACTAACATCCTGTAGCCATGTTCATTCAAGTTTACTATTCCTCAAATGAACCAAAGAAAAGAAAAAGACTTCCGTTTTGCATAGAGATGGCGTTATTCATCGCATGCAGAATAATATGAAAAGACCTTATGTTAATATTAAAACGTATTGAATCACTGACTTTGATTGCACATGAACTTTGAAAGGTCATGTAAATTTGACTCTAACGAGAAAAGTCTACCAGCTAATTAATCGCTTTTGAGTCAAGATTATGTGCAATCTGTATAGCTCTTAATGAACTATGAATAGCCTGAGAAAAGTTTGTGCGCTTAGCTTATTGCTGCGGAAATACGGTAACAATATCTTCTTTTTTTAAGTCAATACAATGTTCTCCCTAAGATAGATTGAAAAAAATTATTTTTGAACTTTGCATAGTGATAGCCCTTAAGAAGAGTAGTTTATTGTGAAAATTTCAGGTCTTTTGATTTACTCCTATTTGGAAATAAGAACATCATGAGCCTCAAGTGCTGAGGACGATATTTTAAGACTTCCTCAAAAATTGATCTCAGCCAAGTAACATTCAAATGGCATGAAATTTTCAGGATATATTGGAGCTTTAGTGGATAAGCTATAGTATAATTTTCAGCTTGATATCATAATGTTTGAGAGAGATATTGACTAAACAAGGATCATAAATAGCTCATTTGGCAAATCAAATTTCTCTGTGCAGGTTCATTCTATATATTTAATTTTAAGGAAAGAAAAGGGATCGAAAGTTCAATGACTCAAAAAAACCCTTAAAAAATGGGTGTCGAGTTATATAAGTGTCTGTATATACAGTACCCGACAAAAGTATCCCCCCCCCTCCCCCCTTTGAATCTCAGTCACAATATGAACTGTAGAGCTGAAAACTAGTGTACACATAGTTCTCAACGAATGCTGATCAGCCACACCATCCGCATCCCGATTGCATGAAGTATAAGAAAGTTATGATGTATGCGGTCTGTCTCCATTGTGAATTTCATAAATTAAGAATGGAAAGACTTTATGGATCGAAGTTGGTTTTATTTTGTAGCTCTGCACTTTGACTATTTATGGTAAAATTTTCATTGAAATTCAATGTGTCATTGCGGAACTAGAACCATTTTACTGTAAGTATCGATATATGACAAAACCGACCTATCCCATTGTGTACTTCATAAATCAGTGAAAGTTTGATAGATCGACTTCAAACTTGCAGGAAAGGTGGTCTCACAGGTCTTTATTGTTCTTTGAAATTTTCAGACTTATATCACATACTAGAGAGAAATGGCACTATGTTCAAGTTCCAGATGTTGTCATAGGTGTAGCTACTCGAATACTCATGCAATTGTCCTCATCTTTTGGGTACATAACTAACACATAAGGGGGCACAATTCTACCAAAAAAAAGCTAAAAAATTCACCAGGTATCATGGAAAACAAGACGTAAACTTTTTATGGTCAATTTTTCTCTCATTCTGACAGAGCTGAAGAAGAAAGGGAGTGAAAGTGTAGATTCGTATCTCTTTCACACTCACATACCAATTTTCACTCATATTCTTGCTCCCATACATACTCTGATTCACCATCATGATGAAAACTATCAGAAGACCCTCGAGAGAGTTGAATTAGATAGATAAATGCTTTTAAATTCTTCTGTATATCGAATACAGTATCCTCACAAGTTCGTTTTGACACCATTATCTTGAGGGTGTGACAGTGAGAAAAAAATTGATCATAAAAAGTTTACGTCTTGTTTTCCATGATACCTGGTGAATTTTTTAGCTTTTATTTGATAGAATTGTGCCCCCCAGCGTTGGAATCCGGCCGGTAAATACCGGAAATTTACCGGTTAAAGTTTAAAAAATATTATCTTTACTTAGCTCTTATTCGGTAAGAAGAATTATGTATTTTGCTATGAAGTATAACAAATTCTCCATCATTAGACATATATGTCCAGAAAGTCTTTCGATAGTGTCAATATTAAAAATTTTGTTCAGTTTATAATCGATATTTATCGCGATGATTGTAATACTATGATAGACACAAAGACAATTAGGCATATGTTTTATCAGTTTTGAAATAGACCAGGCAGTACTATATAAATCAGTTAGGAAGATCTTAATATCCTTTTGAAAAAATGATGATGCTTCATGATTATAAAGATTATGCATATCTTTTCTAAAAGTTTCATAAAAAGTCAAATCATATTTTCTCAAGTACGAATATTGAAATTTTCTACGATATGCTTATAAAAAAACTATTCCTAGGTCGATTTCAGTTTTCTGTACTTATGATACGAGGAGCTAAATCATATTGTTTCAATCATGTTATTTAAATATTAGATAATTCAATTTACAACTAGAAATAGCTTTATCAATTTCTACCGTACTTTCGAATGTTTGGAACCATTTTAACAGGGTAAGCGTGACCGGAAATTGACCGGTTTGCCGGAATTTCACAGGTTCAGAAATGATTAACAACCGACCGGACCGGACCGTTTTATCTTTTTCTCACCGGTTCTAACCCTGGTGCCCCCCTTATGTGCTAGTTATGTACCCCAAAAGATGAGGCCAATTGCTTGAATATTCGAGTAGCTACACATATGACAACATCTGGAACTTGAGCATAGTACCATTTCTCTCTAGTATGTGATATAAGTCTGAAAATTTCAAAGAACAATAAGGACCTGTGAAACCATCTTTCCTGCAAGTTTGAAGTCGATCTATCAAACTTTCACTGATTTATGAAGTACACAATGGGATAGGTCGGTTTTGTCATATATCGATACTTACAGTAAAATGGTTCTAGTTCCGCAATCACTCATTGAATTTCAATGAAAATTTTATCATAAATAGTCAAAGTGCAGAGCTACAAAATAAAACGAACCCCGATCCATAAAGTCTTTCTGTTCTTAAGTTATGAAATTCACAATGGAGACAGACCGCATACATCATAACTTTCTCATACTTCATACAATCGGGATGTGAATGGTGTCGCTGATCAGCATTCGTTGAGAACTATGTGTACACTAGTTTTCAGCTCTACAGCTCATATTGTGACTGAGATCCAAGGGGGGGCAGGATACTTTTGTCAGGTACTGTATAATAAAAATCTGGCGCCGATATAATTAATCATCAATAAGAATGACATCGTCATTATTGATTATCATTCTATTCTTTATAAACAATAATTTAAATCTTTGTTTCTCACTGAATGAATTTTGTAATAATATATTATTAGTTAATTCAAAAAACAATATTTCTCAAGAATATATACCTCTTCATTATTTAATATTAAAAACATTTATTATAACAAATCCATGTAATACAGATAAATCAATTCTTATTCGTAATAATACTTTTTATAAATATGATCGAGAACAACAACAATGGAAACGATTATGTGTTTCTCGAAATATTTTTGATAAAGAAGTATTCATATCCTTAAAAAAAAACCAAGATTTTTCATATACATTTTTGTTTTTAGATTCCAATAGTAAATTCAATAGCTCATTTAAATAATGATTTAATTTTAATTATTAATGGAATTTTATTTCGTACACAAGATATAATAAGTTCATCAAAAAATCCTGATATTATCTATAGATTATTATGTTATTCTAGTAAGAAAAATTTTAAAATAATTATTTTTTTTGTTTTTTATTTTATTATTTAGATCTACCAATTTTATTTGATAAAATTGATTATGTATTTACAACACCTTGTTGTACATGTCTTAAAACTATAAATTATTATTCTATAAGTCATATATTTAATGATTATATTATTCTAGCTAATAAATTTGGAAATGTTATACTTTTTTATTTAAAATCATTAACAATTATTTATAATTTTGGAAATATTTTTCAATCTCAAACTGTAAATAATTTCAAATAGAATAAATATTTAAAAAAAGAAAATTTTCTTTTGTTTTGTTTTTTTTTAGATTTGTAAATCAAATCAATGTACGATTCTTTATCTTGGACTCTCTCATTCTATACCATTACTTATATGTATTATTAAATATCAAAATGAAAAAGTTAGAAAATCATAATTTAAAATATATGTATTCAAAAAAGAAAGGAATCCTTTTTTTTTGTTTCTTTAGGCAATTATTTTTCATCAAACATTTTTAGAATTGAATTCAATTTTTCAAAAATCTACATTTATTAATTTTACTGGTGATAATTTATACATTACACCAAGTACTTTTCATAATGCTTATTTTATTTGGGATGAAAATAAAATTTATTATACAATAAATGATGGTCTTATTTTATCTGATATAACAACTAATGGTTGTCAATTTGATTATTTACATAATATGAATGAAAATCAATTAAAAAATTATTATACAAATCTTAATGTTGATTATGATAATATAACATTAATAACAAAAGATATCTATTGTTTAAATATAACTATTGATTATATTTTTATTTCGAATAATGAATTTTTTATTATAACTAAAAATAGTAAATATTAATTCTTAAGCTTGTCATAGAAAGATCAAAAGGAAAAATATAGAAAAAGAAAAGCTGTTAGCGCAATTTCTGTGAGATTTAAATGTAAAACATGATTTACTTGTTGTTGTTGTTGTTACTAATCCCAGAAAGATTGTTATATTCAATCTATTTTGGAAAACATTTCTTCACTTACTTAGTTCTCCGGAAATGCAATAGCTCATATAGTATAACAAGACTTTTAT